GATGCATCTATTAACACAAATCAAGGAACGCCAAGAATTGCCAGCAACCACCAGAAGCCAGGAAGAGACGCGGGACTTTTTTTTCCTAAAGCCTTCAGAAAGAACATGGCCCTGCTGACACCTTGATTTCAGACTCCCAGTCTCCAGAAATGTGAGAAAATAAAACTGTGTTGTTCTTAGCCACATTGGTGGTACTTTGTTACGGAAGGCCTAGGAAACTATTATAGACTATTTCCACAAAGCCATCCCCAAATCACCCAAGCAAAGCACAAATCCTGTAGGTACTTTTGAACACCCTCCTACTAAGATGTGTAAGAGGTGTGTGCTCTCCCTCGCTGTAGCGTAAAATCAATCCAACTTGTTTAACTATAGGTGCGTTCCTGGTGGTCTTTGGGTAAAGGGCATTGACAGCAGTAAAATTCTCAAAAAATCCCAAACCACAAACCATCTCCCTACGTCCTAAATGGATCCCTAAAGTCTATGCCTACACTTTCAATTCTTAAGCCTCAAGGTTTTCAACCACAAGAAAAAGAAAAAGTCAGTTCAGTACACAGATGCTTATTTTCATGGTGAAGCCACTAGACTTCGTTGAGCTCATTGGGGTCAGTGACCATGTCTGTCTTATTTACCAACGTATTCCCCATTCCTCAGCCCAAATCCTAGAATGAAGCAGATGAGTAAGATAAAATTGTTTTCTAAACAACTACATGAAAAAATGTTGTCATCCTTACCTAGTGAGGCCAGGTTCCGGAAGTTTTCCAGCATCACATCTCTGTAGAGGTTCCTCTGAGAAGGATCCAGCAAAGCCCATTCCTCCTGTGTAAAGTCCACAGCCACATCCTCAAAGACCACGGAGTCCTAAAACATCCCACAAGTTCTGTTCAGAAGGTACAACTCCTCCAGTGTGCACAAGAGGATGGATGAGGCTGTCCACACTGGGGAACTGAGAGCCAATTCACAGGAAGTTTAGAAGATTCTATGGTCTGCCACCATCTACTCTAGGACTCAGTCAACAGATCTCATTCCTTCTCTATCCACCCATTCTTCCTGACTGGTCAAATCCTGTCTCATAAATTTAACACTTCTAAAACGCTAAATTTGTCTCCCCACAATTTGACAGCAACGAGATAGGAAAAACCAAAACGTTTTTCCTACTTCCTTACACAGTCACTTAATACAGAATGGGATGCTTCTGACTCCAGGTGGGGTGGGGGAGTATTTTCCCCACACCCCAAGCAATTCTCCAGCTGACACCAGTTGGGTGTCCTATAATTCAACTCTAACACTACATTCCTGGAGATAGCATCAGATCCCACAGGTTGAGGGCTCAGTCCCACAAAACTGTCCCCCACTTCAGATGCCAATCACAAGTAGTAGGTTGTCACTTATAATTCTGACTGACTGGCTATAAATCAGGGCTACTACTACCCCCTCCTTACCTTCAATTAATTTACTGGAATCGTATTTTAAAATATCAGATGAATAGCCAGGTGAAGAGATGGTTAGGCCAAGATATGGTGGGAATTGGCTCGGGGATTCCATGCCACCCTCCAGAAACCACCATGTGTTCAGCCACCCAGAAGCTCCTTGAACTCAGTCCTTTGGGTTTTTATAGAAGCTTCATTATGTAGCCACAATTGAGTACATCACTGGCCACTGGTGATCAACTTCACCTTCAGCCCCCTCCCGTCCCCAGACGTTGAATATAGGGCTGAACGTCCCAACCCTCTAATCATGACTCCATCTTTCTGAACCAGCCCCCATCCTGAGGTTGTCTAGGGGCTGCCAGCCACCAGTCATCTCGTTAGCACATGAATGCTCTGGAGATTCCAAGGGTTTTAGGAGCTCTGTGCCAGGGAACAGAACAAAGACCAAATATATATTTCACAGTATCACAGATGGTGACCAATTCCAGTCTTAGAATGGTCCTGAACAGACCAGAGCATATCACAGAAATGAGAGAAATGTTCTAGAAATGAAATAATTTCCATACTGACCCCATCCATTCCTTGGCACAGATACAATTTCGCCTGCTACCTTATTCCTGCCACAGTAATCAGCACAACATGAAACACCGAGTCAAGCCTGGACAAGATTTTTTTTTTTTTGAGACAGAGTCTCACTCTGTTGCCTGAACTACAGTTCCACAGCGTCAGTCTAGCTCACAGCAACCTCAAACTCCTGGGCTCAATGGACAAGGTTTCAATGAATAAAAACATACTGAGGGAATGGGAGCTTTTCCTTTTTTTCCCTTCACAAACCTGAGAGGCCCAGGAGTCTGCAGAAACACAACTCTTAAGCCTGGCCCATAGCGGGCCCTTATTTTCTTGTATTCTAGGCCAGGGGTCAGCAAACTACGGCACATGAGTTAAATCTGGCCTGCCACCTGCTTGCATAAGTAAAGTTTTATTGGAACTGAATGGTCTTCAAAGCCTAAAATACCTACAATGTGGTCCAACAGAGGAACAGATTATTGACCTGTGCTCTAAAACAATTAGGAGGAGACTTGGAGAATGAAAGTATCCTTTTGGAGAATTATTACCTGTTACTTACCTGTATCATATTTTTCGGTAACTCAGCAGCTGTCCTTTCTTCTTCCATGTCCCCTTCATGAAGAAAAGCAGAAAGTCAAGGTAAGGCAGAAAGCGACATGAGAATCCAGACCTCCCACAATTCCCACACTCATGGGCGTCGATGTTGCAGCACATCAATTATGAGTGACGACTCCCGTCAAAACACACACACACACACACACACACACACACACACACACACACATACACACACGACACCCAGGCAAACACACACTGATCTTCTATGAAGGTGGACCAACCTTATCTCCCCTAGAGCTAGAAAACAATGCTCTGGTCCTTGAGGATCAGAAAGAAGAGGTTGAGAGTGTTATTTTGTAAGTTAACTGAAGTCTAAAAAAGTTTCTCTGTCAATTTGTCCACGATAACAAAAAGCACAAAATGTATCAAGGAGTGCCTTCAACCATGAGAATATACACTCCCTGTCTCAAATCCAAGAAAGTAACGATTTATGATTTACGCACCCGGTTTCTGGGGGGTCCCACTCCCACTATTCCTTAGTTTTTACGGCACCCTTTGGCTGGCTAACAGGCATTACTGGTTGGCCCCTGACCACTGCCCCCACTCCCATGAGCTAGCTGCAAGTTTCCCCAAAACCCAGTTTCTGAGAAAAAACATCAACCCATTGAATTCCACATGCAGAGGCAGAGAAGACTGTCATGCTGTGATTCACATGCTAAATCTGCCTGTACAGTACAGTAGTAGTAGAATAAGAATATTTGATCTGTGTCACCACTGATAATGGTATCTGCAGTGATATCACAAATTTCGAACAAAAATTCAAGTTACTTCCACTGCAGTGGAACTAGTAGCATAAATAGCCACTAAGAAAAAATTATAACATTCTTTAGTACGTTAGCAACAACTTGTGCCATTTGAGCAGCGCTGATGGGAGAATAACTTTGCAAAGAGATGTCCATATTTTAGATGATTTCTCATAGAAACTCTGCAACTCAGGTATTATTACAACGACTTTATAGCTGAGGAATCTTAGAAAGAGACAATCACCCACATGCTCAATGTTACCCAGTTAGAAAGTCGCTGAGGCAGGATATGAAAGCAGGTCTATTTGTCTTCAATGCCTAAAACCCAATGAGTACGTTTCTGAATACATACCTCAAATTTTAGTTGTTACTAAGGCCTTTATTTGCTAACATTACCAGGATTTAGTCTAGAACCCTGCTGGGCACTATGGAAAGTGGAAAAATGAAGAATTCTATTCAAATGTGCTATCTTTGAGCTCCTTCTCCTGACTGAGCCCTATGTCTCAGGCAAGGATGCTTCCCTTAAGACCTTTACCTCCTCCATTTCATGATTATTCAGGTAATATTTACCCTGGTGCTACTACATGCAGTCACAGGGAATAAAGCACTGAACAAAACAGAAAAATCCTGAAGCACATGGATGCTATAATCTTTTGCAAGAGGACAGTAAATAAACAAAATATATCAGGTGGTAGTACATGCTATTAATATATAAAAATGCAGCACATTGCGGGGATAAGAAGAAACACATATATATCTTTAGCAAGTCAGGACTGGTTATGTGACAGGATAGAAACAGAATTAAAAACTGTTTCAGATAACACTGGAAATCCAAAGCTGATTTAGTATATCTATTAATATATTTATAAGCATAACCAACTCCCAGTGGAAAAGAAATCAGTGTTAATAGGCTAACCATTCGTTTATGGGGTTGAAAAAAGAACAGCACAAAGATTTAGAAAGAAGGACAAATTTAATAATTTTTTTGGAGTCTCTTTTTTACCTTCTTTCTTTCTTTTTCTTTTCTTTTTTTTTTTTTTTGAGACAGAGTCTCACTCTGTTGCCCAGGCTAG